TGTATTTTCTATAAAAGTTTTTGAACAGTAAGATTTTTTTGGGTTTTTTTTTTTTTTTTTTTTTTAGAATTACACTAATGAAGATTTGATGAGGTGTGCACAGTGTCATGAAAATAATGTCATTAATGCAAAAAAAATAAAATAAATAAAACTTAAAAGGCTTGGTTTCAAAAATTCTAAACATATGTAGAGATTGTGTTAGATAAAATGATCTGGCCATGTTATTCCCATTCTGAGCCTTTTCTCCAAAAGAGTTAATATGACCCTTTCTTGTTTTTTTCTTTCAGGTAGCGGAGGCTGATGCTGTGATACTGCAGGAGAAAAATTCAGGCTCTCATTTGATGCAGTGAAGTGCTCTGTAAGGAAAATCGCAAGCAAAGGTATGGACCAAAAACAATGTGGCCCTATTCGCCAAGCCATATGGCACCATGTGTGAGAAAAAGATGCGAAAATACAAGGAGGAAAAGGCCACAGAAGTGTCTGAATGCAACTACATTCTGTCTGCCCACTTTGTGATGGTGCAAATTTTCTCATCGGTTTCAGCACAAACAGCAGAGTCACAACTCCAATCAAAAATAGCCTATGAACAGATGCCATGCAGAAACATTTATAGATATTAGTTTCCATCTTTGAAGCCGTGCTTATTTAGTATAGTCTGCCGCTCATCTCTTTATGCAGTAATGAAACCAACAGATATCTGAGACAAAAGCTTCAGTGTTAAAGTTATGCAACATGCTGGATGAGGCATTACAATAAATATGCATTTCCCTGGTCAAGTCTGGAGAAGTCTGAGCGGATCAGAGAGGGACAGTGTGATATTGCTGTGTAAGCATAGTTGACATGTAGTTACAAAGTTACTTATAGTTAATAGAATGTCTAAAGTGGACTATCGAAATAAAGTGTAACCTAAGTTTTTGCTCGAGTTTCAATCTCAGACAGTTGCGATCCATTTTTGGTCGGCCCAACAAGCTGCTACCAGGGTCACTTCCTTATAACGAAGTACACTGGGGCTCTGTTCTCAGTATTTAATTCTACAGTCTACTTTAATGAATTTCCTTTTCTTTTTTTTCAGTTTAGCCCAAACAAATATTTTAATATCACAGATCATTTTAAAGCAGAAAATAGCAAAAACTACAAAAGATTGGGTACTGTCTTTTACTGCAGAGCACAAATCGATGACTGTGTTTATTCTAATTTCAGCAGAGGATACGTTTCATACACAGGAAACTGCAGCTAGAGAGCTCAAGTTATCGGTAAACCCCTGCACTAGTATAGGCCAAAAGTACTCTAACCTCTCACCCTATCTAAACCAAGTGTAAATATACAGTGATACCACTGAGAAACGGTTTCACCAGGCTCTTTTAAATTAAGCCCTGCCTTTAAATAGCAGTCAGCAAAAGAGAAGTGTGAAAAGAGCAGAGCGATGTTGAACGCAGAGCTGCAGAGGGGACCGTTGGTAAGGCTGAGAGGGTTCCTGTGGGGCTGTATTAAGACGGACTCTTCACAGCTGGGTTCAGTGACAGCTCTGAAGCAAGAGTATACAGTGGACCAAGAGATTCGGATAAGAGTAGAAAACTGAGAGGACTTTATTCAGAGGCTTTATTAAGGGAAGTCAGAAGAAGGAAGGCAAACATTTGTTGGCTGGTAAGTAAAGGACAGTCACATATGTCAAGCTGTATGCTTTTTGTTGACGTGACAGATACAAAAGATTAATTATTGGTTGACAATTTCTTGAGTGAGAGCTTTGGGGAGAAAAAAGATTGATGGAACTGAGGTTTACGTGAGATTTTCTGTTGGAATGAGGCACAAGAGATAGATGGATGGACGGACGGACGGACGGACGGACGGACGGACGGACGGACAGACAGACAGACAGACAGACAGACAGACAGACAGACAGATAGATAGATAGATAGATAGATAGATAGATAGATAGACAGATAGATAGACAGAGAGACAGACAGACAGACAGACAGACAGACAGATAGACAGATAGATAGATAGATAGATAGATAGATAGATGATAGACAGACAGACAGACAGACAGACTGTTATATACTTTAGACTAGGATTTGGCTGGTATCTCATGAAAGTCTCTGATATAGAGAGAGTACAGGTAGGAGAGGCAATGTGGTCCAGTCATGGAAACAGGGCTCTACTGGTGGTTGCCAGGAGACAGGCAGAGGGGGATATATTGCCTCTTGAGTGATAAACAGGCTGAGAGGAGCCATCTCTGCGTTGTGTGCCATAAGCAAAGGATATGGCTTGATATGAAAGATTTCAAAGCCTAGGTTTGAATCAGCCAGATTCTTATTTTGAACACTGCCAATATGCACATTTGTGTCTCTTGGGAAATGGCATGATAGGTTTTGCGTTATTATCAGTGCCATGATAATCCAGCTATTTTATTTCTTGAATGTTTCTAGATAGTTGTGTGTCCAGAATTATTCCTCTAATGCAAGCTATTATCAAGAGAAGCGGCACCATTTGGTGTCCATTGCCAACTGCAATTGATATTTAGTGTATGCAAACGGTACAACATTATGTTCTAACCAAATGCAATGCAATAAAGCAACAAGCAGCAAAAACATTTATTCAATGCAAAACAGAGTTTTTGTCCAAACCAGCAGTGAACGCCACAGGCAACTGGATGTTTTGTCAATCATTTAGTTTCTATTTATGTTTTGTTGAGCTGGTTAGCCCCATCCATGGTGAAATCTCATTGGTCCAAAATACCACTTCACATAAATTTGTCATGTGACATAGCATTTTTGGTTTCAGTATGGACAGTCAGATTTGCTATAAATGTGATTCACAGCTAGTAAGGACAGGCAGACCTCAGCTATGTGCTATTATGCAGGGTTAGTGCGAGTTAATTTAATATTACCATGCCATTATAGTAAGTTACTGTACGTCTCAAGTCATACAATGCTAAATCACCACCAAAAGGTTTTTGTTCCTGCTTGTGTAGTTTGTCATGATCACTGAATTATTTCTGCTCCTTTCCTGCATTATATTCAAATGCTGCATTGCAACAAACAACATGGTAGCAGAAAATAAGACTAACATTATATTAACATCTTTATGCATTAATTTGATCACACCACCATAATGAAGAAAAATAAGGAAAATGAATAAAAAAAAAAAACGTATTCCTGTACCCATAACAAACACTGTATTACAGCAAGGTTACAACACTTTGTCAGAAGGATTATTTTGTTAAACTATTACAGCCACAAACAGCCTTTTCATTACAATCAATGAAAAAACTAGCATCATTTTCCAGATTTTCACAATACACAGTCTGGCCTCTTACCACAGCGTATGACAACATCCAGTGTTTTCGCAGTGAAAATACACACTGACAGTCTAGGGGTCTTGCTAATGAGTATCATCTAGGCTGTATTTCTTTGTACTGTATGTATTTGTCTTCCTTGCCCAGGTTTGCCGGCCATGGGGAACCTCATTAAGGTCCTTGGCAAGGATTTAGAGAACTGTCCTCATTTTTTCCTGGATTTTGAAAGTAAGTGTTTCGCTGGTGTACGGTGTGTGTGTGTGCTCAGATGTGTGTATGTGTGTGATTGGAGATGGAGGTATCAGGGTTGGAGCAGGTGTAGACGCACCCTCTAGGTGGATTAAGATAGACTGAAGTTTTTGTTTTGTTTGTTTGTTTTTGGAAACTGTTTCTTTTTGCTCTCTTCATGATTCTATTCATTCGTTTCCATTCATGTACATAAAGAGAGCAGAAAGAAGGGGTTTCAATGTGATCCATGTGACCATATCAACATCACCCGAGAATCTTGACACCTAAAGTCCATCCCACACCCTATACGCCCCCGGCCCCCATCCCAGACTCCATGCACATTCACACAAACACACACCCAACACCAGACACACGTCTGTCACACCTCCCATGACCCACACACTTCTCCCTTCTCTCTGTTCCAGGGGGATCATGGGAAATCTCCTGAAACTGCCGGCTTGCACCGAACTTGAGCATGGCCCAATAGTTTTCCTTGACTTTGAACGTGAGACCATCAGCTTCTTATGTTTTGAGTTTGCTTTTCTTTCCCTTTTGATCACGGTTCCTTGTCATTCGCTGTCCTCTACATTTTCACTTCCTTTTCTCCGCCATCCCTCTGTTTGTGCATCAATGCCTGGCATTCAAGTTTTTTTTGGTGACCTCGATTTGTGACATGACTTTTTTTTTGCACTTATCTCCAGGTCGGCTGTGATCCGCTGAGCTAAAGGTCGTCGTACGAATGCCACGCTTTTTTTAGCAGTTAGAGTGGGATGGAAAACAATCACATAACACTTAACTTATCTCCTTTTTTTCGCCCAAAACTTTGCAGACTTGTAAAGTGTGTTGGCTCCATAATCTGTTTCTGTGTGTCCTTGTGCATCTGGCTGTGTGTGTGGTGTGTGTGAATGCATAATTAACCAGTCTAAGGATTTAAGGAAGTGGGAATGGAAGCTGCCTATTGAAAGGGGAGCCTCAATTTCCTTTTTCTCTGATGCTGTGTTCCCTTTTAACCCTTACCTAAGCACTTCTCTCCCTCCTGAGTAATCCTTCCTTCTATGACACCTCTAACAGCTACATGCCTAACATCTCCTTTTTTATGGAGGAAATAAAACTCCTGTGCCTCAAGTGTGAGAACCCGGAAGACTTAGAGCGTTTGCTGTCCAGTCATAACATGTAGGCTGTCCTTCCTCTTAGAATATTTTAATTGGTTGGAGCCGTTCTTGAAGTGACACAAGACATACAGTATAATGCATTTGTCTGTAATTCATTATAGGGTCAATGACATAAGTTAATTTTCTTCCAAATATATTAGTTAATTGATCTGAATACACCTCTTGTATAATGGACATCTGTTCAATTTGAATTTGTCAGATGATTTGACATTTTAAAGGCAGAAAGTTTGGTTCAGGTTGTCAAAAGCCAAACTGATAAAACATTGTATTTAAGAATCCCTTTTTTTTTAAATAATGTTATATAAAAATGTCTTTCACTGTTGAAAATTATAATTATTACTCATATGCATGTGAGGTGTAAAGGAAATATGTAAAAATACTTTTCTTGAAGGTTATACCACATGACATTTTTTAATATAATTTATTAAATGAAAACGTTGAAAACGGCATGAAAACAGTAAAAAAACAAAAAAAAACAAGCAGCACACAAATATAAAATTTCCAAGACCTTGGCATGTGTATGTTTAACTAATTTTTTAAGATGTCTACTTGACAATTCTTACTTGTCATTGACCCTATAGCAGAATTTATAATAATACAACAATGAATACAACAAGCAAAAAAAAAAAGGACAACAGCCGCTCTCCCGATCAGCGAAACAATGATCACCTGTGTTACACTGGTTTACATTTCCTCAGTTCTGAAATGGGGTTAGTGTGCTATTAATGGCATTCATAAAAATTAAATATCTTCAATACAAGACACAATGGCACAGAAACAGGCTTTGAGCCCAAGATCAGATCACTTTTACTGAAGAGCTGATGATACATTAACCAAAAGGAGTGTGTGGTGCAAAATAAAAGTGTGCAAAAGGGAAAGCAAACATTACATTGCTACTGTAGCATTGTTCTTTGAAGATCACAGGCAGGATGAGCAAACAAACCTGGAGGTGACATGACTGGGAGGAGCCATTGGTAATTTCACTGAAGTTTAGAGTGTATGTTTGTTCAAATGATAGCACAAACAGATATGTGTGTATTCAGTCAAACACTGACAGAGTTGCATCAAGGACCTCTGATAGGGGTAGCTGCTTCTATAAACATTGCAACCCCTGTATGGATGCAGGATGAGGGAGTGTGCTTGAAAAGCAGGCTTAGATGCCCTGCTTCATGCAGATCACTTACTGTACAGAGCCTTGGGAAGACTAAGAAATCTGATCTAGCGAAGACTGTTAATAACAGCATTTCCCAAAATGCCTCCTGCTGCAGTTTTTACACTGCAAACTCCATACACAGTATAAAAATAAAGGTTCTTTATTGACGTCTATGGTTTCATGAAGAAACTTTCCATTCCACAAAAGTTTTTTTACAGTGGAAAAAGATTTTTTAGATTCTTAAAATGTTCTTCACAGTAAAGGGGTGGTAAAATTAGCTAAATTTAGTGTGCAAAAACAAATCCTTTGTCCATAGTAAATAGCATAGATATATATTAAGCACAGCTCACACAGAAGTCACTTTCAAACCAAGCAGCTTTCTGTTAATCAGCATGGAGAATTTGCATGACCAATTTGCTCATGAACAAAATCTGCATTGATGAAAGTCCCAATCACATAGATTCCTACTGAAATGACTAGATTTCACCTAATAGTTCAGGAATGTTTCTCTCAAAAATGAAAATTTGCTGAAAATGTACTCACACCTTAGGCTATCTGGGATGTAGATGAGTTTATTTCTTCATCAGAACAGATTTGGAGAAATGTAGCATTACATCACTTGCTTACCAATGGATCCTCTGCAGTGAATGGGTGCCGTTAGAATGAGAGTTCAAATAGCTGATAAAATCACAATAATCCACAAGTAATCCACACCAGTCCATCAATTAACATTTTGTGAAGTGAAAAGCGTGTTTGTAAGACACAAATCCATCAAGACGTTTTATGTTTAATAATCCACAATAACTCATCCTCCAGTGAAAAAGCCTACATCAAAATCCACTGACATATTTGTTTAGAACTGTTTTGGACTGCTATCTTTAGTAAACAGTGTTTGTTCTGTACATATTTCTCTCCTGATTCAGACGAGATTAATTTTTTAAAGCAATATTATGAACCAAGGAATTCATCAATCCATCTTAATGATGGACATTTTTTATTATCAGCTTTTCACTTTAAAAGATGGTAATTGATGGACTGGAGTTGTGTGGATTACTTGTGGATTATTGTGATGTTTTTATCAGCTGTTTGGACTCCTGTTTGGATGTATTGCATATCCTGTGGTTGAAAACTAAAAGCTAAATAGAGGTCCACAAACTAAATTGACGTCCACCAGGGCATGATATTCTGTTTGCTTTCCTGCCTGCTATCATCAGCCTATTAATCAAATGCCTGATGCTTGCTGTGTTGGAAGCTGACACAACTCTTTAAACCCATCCTAGCCTTGCCAGCAACTCCATATGGAGCTGCTTCATTGGCCATGGCCTTTCATCGACATTTCCCACCAGAGCTGTTAATTTCAGCCGTAACAAATTCTGACACAAACTAAATCCTCCTCATGTACTTCCGACTCACAATAACAATAACATCATCATCATTACCAGATTAATCCATATGGATTTATGGTTCCTATCTTTCGAAGCTCGTTGGAAAGCACTTTCCCACTCCTGGTGCCAAAAGATGAAGATAATCCAATGTTAGCACCAAATTAACTCACACCATGAAGCTTTCTTGTAATTATTAGTCCAGTTTTCAGATGCAACTCTGACTTGACTGGTTGAACGCAACCCAATTTATCCAAAACAAAACCCATCAGGACAATAAGAAATTATATCAGTATGATAGTGTGACAAAGGTGATCTATAATTGAAAGAGGACTGCGTATATTTTGAGCATGTATGTACAGTTGAGGTCCAAATTAGAGAACAATCTTTAAATACTTGTTTTTTTCTGAAATATTGTTAATCTTCATCGCTCAAAATTTGAAGCAATATTAGCTGTAGGTATACCACTGATCCACTAACATGTTTGACAAAATAACCGAGGCATTTCAACAAAAACCTTTATTTTGTGGAAAACACAGTGATCAAAATTAGAGAACAGTAACCACTGTAGAACGAAAGACGATTATAACTAAATGGTTACAGCTGTCAGAAATTTGTAGGAAGTGTAGAGGCCCTCGCTTTGAATGAATTCAGCACATCTGCGGCTGCAGGACATCACTAGTTTCTCACACTACGCTAGTGTGATCTTGGCCCACTCTTCTTCCACTCTCTTCCATAGTTCGGTAACTGTGGTGGGTTTCTGAGCCATAACTTTGTTGCCAAGGATTTTCCAGAGATTTTCAGTTGGGTTTAGATCAGGACTCTGGGCCGGCCATTTCATTATCTCAATGTTCTTAGCTTCAAGGAACTGCTTTACCCGTTTTGCAGTGTGACGGGGTCATTGTCTTGCATGAAAATTGCAGGCGGATTGGGAGATGCTTGCAGGGAAGGAACTGCATGCTGCTGAAGGAGGTTCTGATAAACATATGCATTGCCCCTGCTATGTAGCTGTACTGTATAAGAGGCCTAACTCCTGCTGCACAGAACATCCACCAAACCATGACACTTCCTCCTCCACCTTTCACTGACTTCTTTACGCACTCGGGCTTCAGTCTTTCCCCATTTTGATGCCAAACAAAATGTTGATATTTTCTGAAATATTGTTAATCGTCATCGCTCAAAATATGAAGGAATATTAGCTGTAGGTATACCACTGATCCACTAACATGTTTGACAAAATAACCGAGGCATTTCAACAAAAACCTTTATTTTGTGGAAAACACAGTGATCAAAATTAGAGAACAGTAACCACTGTAGAACGAAAGACGATTATAACTAAATGGTTACAGCTGTCAGAAATTTGTAGGAAGTGTAGAGGCCCTCGCTTTGAATGAATTCAGCACATCTGCGGCTGCAGGACATCACTAGTTTCTCACACTACGCTAGTGTGATCTTGGCCCACTCTTCTTCCACTCTCTTCCATAGTTCGGTAACTGTGGTGGGTTTCTGAGCCATAACTTTGTTGCCAAGGATTTTCCAGAGATTTTCAGTTGGGTTTAGATCAGGACTCTGGGCCGGCCATTTCATTATCTCAATGTTCTTAGCTTCAAGGAACTGCTTTACCCGTTTTGCAGTGTGACGGGGTCATTGTCTTGCATGAAAATTGCAGGCGGATTGGGAGATGCTTGCAGGGAAGGAACTGCATGCTGCTGAAGGAGGTTCTGATAAACATATGCATTGCCCCTGCTATGTAGCTGTACTGTATAAGAGGCCTAACTCCTGCTGCACAGAACATCCACCAAACCATGACACTTCCTCCTCCACCTTTCACTGACTTCTTTACGCACTCGGGCTTCAGTCTTTCCCCATTTTGATGCCAAACAAAATGTTTCCCATCAGACCCAAATAAATTAAACTTGTTCTCATCACTAAAGTGAACTTTGGACCAGCTCTCCTCTCTCCACACAACATGCTCATCAGCAAAGGTGAGCCTAGCCTTTTGATTCTTCTTGCTGATGAGAGGCTTCATCACTGCAGAGTGTGCTTTCAGTCCGACTTCTCTTAAAAGTGCAGAGACAGATCCTTACCCTGTTCAGCACTGACCTGGCGAGCAATTCCAGCTGCAGTGTTGAACCGATTCCCCATTGAGAGTTTTCTTCTCTTCTCGTGCATTTGTCTTACGTGGATTACCAGCCTTTTAGGGGGACTTGAATTAGTGTCATTGTAAAGTTGCAATATTTGAGACGTCACGATTTGGAACGACCAACTTCTCTTGCAATGGCTGAAAGGGTCATCCCTTTAGCCTTCATCTGGACAACCTCCTGTCACAGGGTTTCAGTCACCTTAGAGCAGCCCGCCATCATGCAATCTCAGTGAAAATTGGAGGAATGCTGCCAGTTAAATAGGGTTTGTCATATAATTAAGGAAATTAGCACCAGGTACCAGATTAACACCAATGACTTGGAGGTATCTGTAAGTGTTCTCTAAATTTGATCAGAGTTTTTTTTTTTTTTCAAATATCTCATTTAAGTTTTTTATACTGTGCTTCACAATACAATTCATTTATGAAATATGTTTAAAAAGCTGCCCTTCTACTCCTGTTAGGATAACTTCAAATAGGACTAAGGAAATTGTAGGTTGTTCTCTAGTTTTGATCTCTTTGATCACTGTATATCTATCACATTCTGACCAACTCAATCTGACTTCTGTCCACAGATGCTCAGCCCACAGAGGCTGAGACAGCCGTGTGGAACCAGGTTAGTGCCGTGCTGGAAGAAGCCCATGGGATACTGGCGGAGTTACAGTCTTACAATGGAGCAGGACAAGAAATAAGAGAGGTGGGTCTATTTTTACATTTATTAGTTGTGCTTACCTTTGCAAAACCTGCTGCTACAATGCTAGATTGCTTGCTCCCAGTGGTTGCTTACTTATCCAAGTCAAAATACTGAGCCCATCCAATTCTAAAATGCAACTAACTAACACTTTTTTTTTTTTGCCTGTTTTATCATCCTCCAGGGTAATTTTGTAAGCATGATTAGAAAAGTAACAGAACATGTCTTATCTAAATGCTGCATGATTTGAGATATCATGCATGTATAGTACAATTTTTGTTGTGAATCAGTTTAAGCTGGAAAATATTTTGCAAGTCACTAATGTAAAATTTGATAAATAGACATACCGGCAATACAGTATGTCGGGGCAATAATTGACAGAATCTTTTTTTTTTAACATAATATATACACTACCATTCAAAGTTTTGGGGTCTGTCAGATTTATATACGTAAGATATAAGTCTCTTTTGTTCACTAAGTCTGAATTTCAAAAATCAAAAATAGATTAAAAAGTAATATTGTGAATTATCATTACAATTCAAAATAATTGTTTTCTATTTTAATGTATTGTAAAATGTAATTTATTCCTGTGAAAGAAAAACAGAATTTTCAGCATCATCACTTCAGTATTCAGTGTCACATGATCCTTCAGAAATTATTCTAATATGCTGATTTGGTGCTCAGGAAACATTGATTATTATCTATGCTGAAAACAGTTGTGCTGCTTAATATTTCTGTGGAAACCTTGATATATATATTTTTTTTAAAGATTATTTTTCTATGAATATAAAGTTCAAAAGAACACCACTTATTTGAAATAGAGATCATTTGTAACATTATAAATGTCTTTACTTTCACTTTTGATCAATTTAATGCATGCTTGCAGAATAAAAGTATTAATTTCTTTCAAATATGTATGAAATGGTATTGTATTTTACTATTTTTTTCAGTTCAGTGAATTCAATTCTTTTTTGGTCCTCAATTCAAACACTGGGCTATTTGTACAAACCCCTAACTAGAGTAATAGTGTTGCTTACCTTAGAACGAACCACTAATAATTATTCATCCTGAGCCAGGAACCATTTCATCAGTTATAAAGCACATATAGGATTTGAATCATTCTGGTCCATAAACAGCAAATGTGCAGGAGTTATTCAGCTGTACATGTTTCATATTGCTGAGTAAATCTCACAATGTAAATTTATTTAAAGTATACAAATGACCTTGAGTTTATAGTCAGTGTAAATGAAGGTTTTTTTTGGGACAGTTGTGGTTTCAAGTGTTCTCGCTCGTCCTTCTCTCCAGGCGATTCAGAACCCCAATGACCTCCAGTTGCAGGAGAAAGCCTGGAATGCAGTCTGCCCCCTAGTGGCCAAGCTCAAGAGATTCTATGAATTTTCTCTCAGGCTAGGTAAGTGGGTGGCCATTTTTTTCCAATTGTCTTTTTTTATAGTCAAGTAATGGGCCTTGCGTGCACGAGTCTTCCAACGCACTGACCGTGCGTACAACGAGTGGTGCAAGCATCCGTTCTGTCCTCCTCTGCAGCTGACCTCGAAAAGAGTTGGCATGGCAACCGCGGCAGCAGAGAGTAGAGGAGGCTGCGTTTCTGCCTCCCATGCTCGCTGACAATTCAGTATACTGTTTGCAATAGTCGATCAGCTGCCTCTTTTTTCACAGCAGTGCTGACTAGTGACAAATGCAGATCTCCAGCCAGACAGATAACATGCATATAAGCTTTTCCCTGCCAAGGTATGGCATCGCAGTGACTCATGAGAAAAAGAGGCCCCACCCTCTTCAGCACATCCTGCTATCCCCAATATCTGGTCCCCGGCTAATAGAGTCAGATTTCTCGGTAGGCCTCCAGATAAAATTATCAGCTTCTTATTTATAGTAGGGCTGTTACATATTTGATGAGAGGAAAGGATAGCTCCTCTGGAGACATGCTTAGGCATACTAATGACATTCAGACATGGCTTAGCTTTGACGGTGTAGCTGTACGTCTTCTCGTCGCCAAACAGGAAACAAATGCTAAGAGCTTTACACCAGTAAGGAGTACAGCACAGACCAGACCTACAGCATGAATTCACTCTCACAACATTAATGCAGTTATAATATTGATGAAACTGCATTAACACTGCGTATGAAATGTCTCACTGGAATACTTGATTCAATAATGCCATTGAGTGGTCATTTATTTTTGTATAATGACGGTTAAACTGGATATTTCATCGTCATATATGACAATATACTGATGCTACTTTCATAGCTGTCATATATTGCAATATGGCCTAGGAGTACTTAATACTAATATTAATTGCAATATATATCCTGTGGTGAGCATAAAGTCTTTGATAGATGACTAGAAGCTCAGAAGTATCCAGTTAAAGCAAGAAAACCGAACATTGTGGCTAGAAATGATTCCATGGAAAAGGTATCTTGGCTGTGTATAATAACAATAATAATAATATAGAGATATAAGAATACGAAAATAATAAAGATAATATAGATATAATAATAAGAACAGAGATATAAGAATAATAAAAAAAGAATAAAGAAAGAATACATTGTTTAATTGTTTATTATTTTATTTAAACATTTATTATTGTTGTTGTTAATAATTACTATTATGCAAGGTGCATATATCTAGTGTAATATTGTGAAATATTATAAAAGGACATTTATTCCTGTGACAGCAAAACTGAATTTTCTTCAGTGTCACATGATCCTTTAGAAATCATTTTAATATTCTGATTTGGTGCTCAAGAAATGCCTTATTATCATCAGTGTTGAAAACAGTAGTGCCTATTAATATTGTTCATATTGAGTTAATTAAGTCAATATTGCAATAGTGTTCTTGTTGCTTTGTTGCTAGCTGTTGTCAGAGATAATCTTATGATAAATTGCAGCAACTACAAAAATACAAAAGAGAGGCGTTAGAGGTAAATACAGTGGTAACTGTTGTGCTGGTAACCATGGAGATCAAGTACACATATTGCAGAGCTGCGCTTTTGATACATTATGTTGGTATGCCGTGTGGATTACATTAGATTAACGGCCAGAGGTGTGTGTATGTGTGTTTTATCAACAGATGATAAAAGGCTTTGGAAAGCTTGAGGGACGACATCAGCATTCACAGTGAATGAATTTGAAAAGACAAATTGCTACAGAGAAGTGACTTTTATAAACTGTAAGGGACAATAAAATCTGAAATCAATATGTGTTTGCAGAGAACGCCCTGCGCAGTCTTTTGGAGGCCCTCACTAGCCCACCCTACGCTCCCATCCAGCATCTGGAGAGAGAGCAGGCCCTCGCCAAACAGTTTGCAGAGATCCTGCACTTCACGCTCAGCTTTGATGAGCTCAAGGTGAGCGATTCTCACACATTACTCACTTTGAGTTCATGTGGCATGAGCTCCGCTAAAATTTTTAGCCCTGCACTCAGTCAGGCCTCTTCACACTGATGTTCTCAGAGAATCACGTCGAGTAAAATGTCTAAATGATAACACTATTAGCTGGTCTGTCTCTAAAGGAAATAATTTAGGAAATAATTCTTCACAGTCAGATGCATGATTTGCCTTAACATTTCTCTCACTGCTTGAAGTCAGTAGTATCCATAATAATCTTTATTGTAGATGCTTCTGACATTTTTAAATCCTGTCTTTTGTAGATGACAAATCCAGCCATACAGAATGATTTTAGTTACTATAGGAGGACCATCAGCAGGAATCGGCTGAACAACCAGCAGGTAAGTTCACAATCTGTTGAAATTGACATTACTACTCAGAAAATTTGGTCTAGAAACCATTTTCGCTCAGAAAATGGTAGTAAATTTTACAGACAGTACAACGAAATGGTAAGTAACACATCGAATTAAACATAAAATTCTGACATTGAAAAACTGAAATAGTATTTCTCGTAAAACATACTCCAATAATCTATTTACAACTTTGAAAAACAATTTTTTACAGTACAGGAGTATTCACTCTGACGATGTTTAGCAGCGACAAAGGAAGTCCTTCATTTTCAATTAAAGTTGGCGACTTCATTGGAATGACAAAACCTGTTAAGAATGTGAGAAAGTTCAAATGCAGAGAATGAAGCTCATGTGATCTGCCTCACGACACAGTTTTATAGTGCAATGCACCTAGTAGCAACCAGCACTTTGAGTTAATCATTGTTAGTGTGAATGACCCAAAACGTAAAGGTATAAAAGTTAAAATATTAATTGTCTGAGCAGAGAGTGCATTTGTATGGGGAGGTTAATGTTTGACTTAAGAAAAAGCCTAATCATCTGACACAAGATTTACATTTGCGTTACAGTTAGAAGCTGAGAATGAAGTGAATAATGAAATGGCCAATCGGATGTCGCTCTTCTATGCTGAAGCCACACCCATGCTCAAAACTCTGAGCAATGCCACGACTAAGTTTGTGTCCGAGGTAATTCATGATTTCACTGAATCTTCTGTAAATACTTAAAGGGATAGTTCGCTCAAAATAAAAATTCTGTCATCATTTACTCATCATCATGTTGCTCCAAACAATTGTTTACTTTTAGATATTATATCCAAACACATTTTAATGTCAGTTTTGATTTGTTCAATATAGATATTTTTCCAACCTTCGGCGTCCGATCGCAGGCCTTCCGCTCCTTGAGTTCTCTCCAGCGCTGGAAAGCTGATCCGATGTTTACATGGGTCCTACTTCTTGCCTTATCGTCCCGCAGACATTTTCCTCTTTTGTTTTTTTATCCGCCATCTCTATCTTTCTGTCGCTCGGCTCGGCAAATGTCCGTCCCATGCACTAAACGCGCTCTCCTCCACATCACGAGTAGACACGCCCCTTATTGCTGATTGGCTACAAGTTTGTTTTGCGATTCGGCCCGAATCAGTTTTCTAAAGTGTTTTTGAAAAATCACTTACTCTGCCTTTAATGAATATAATAAGAACTTGCGTTTTCCTGTGAAATGGAGAAAACAGAAATCTTGTTGCACTCTAGAGGCTCTTACCGGTGTTAATACCTATGCATGCATGTTGCAGAACAAGACTTTGCCAATTGAGGACACCACAGATTGTCTGAGCACTATGGCCTGTGTGTGCCGTGTCATGTTGGAGACTCCGTAAGTTCATCCGATTCAATGCCTTTTCAATAAAAGAATGTGATTATTTGAACATTTATTCATGTCAATTATCCAGAAGAGATTAAATTTAGCTTAAAGTGACCACTATTTCCTGTCCAAAGGGAGTACCGGTGCCGTTTTACTAACACAGACACCATGCTGTTCTGCATGCGTGTGATGGTGGGCGTCATCATCCTTTATGACCACGTTCATCCAGTGGGTGCCTTTGCCAAGACCTCCAAGATTGATGTAAGAACACCTTATTGATTTTTGGACCAAAAAAGTATTCGGACACTTCATCCACACCTACAATATACGTCACTGCATTATGTAACAAAATATCAAACCCCAAATGTCATCTATTTTAATGGAGAAACAGAAGGACATTTTTCAAGCAAAACATTTCACAAAAATAGTTACATTGTACTGTTTAAAATAAGATATCTAGACACTTTCTGGATGCCAGTGGATCACATGCACAGTTAATATGATGAACTGTGTGAATTTGGAAGAAATTATGTCATTCAGTACTTCCACCTTAAACCACCATGCCACTAGTTGGTTTATAGTCACTGCAAAACTGGCTTGTAAAAGTGAAGCTAGCATCATTGGTTTGCACGTCTCTTTATTTGATAGTATCTAATGCAATGAAATTCATACGCTTAAGTGTGGCTAATTGTCTGCAGGCAGATGCAACTGCGGCATGCTTTTGATAATATTATATGACTGAACTGCTATCTTAAAGGCACAGTTCACCCCAAAATTATTTACTCACCCTAATGTAGTTCAAAACCTGTAAACTTTACTTCAGGGGTGTCCAAACCAGGTCCCCGAGGGCCGGTGTTCTGTAGAGTTTAGCTCCAACCCTAATTAAACGCACCTGAACCAGCTAATTAAGGTCTTACGAGAAACTTCCAGACAGGTGTGTTGAGGAAAGTTGGAGCTAAACTCCCTCCAGGAACGAGTTTGGAGACCCCTGCTTTATTTCTTCTGCAGAACATAAAAGATGTTAGGCAGATTATCCACTTTTTTCCATATAATGACAGTGTATGGGGACTGCTTAAAGTCTGTTCACCTTTACCAACATTTTTCTGAAGCATTGACAGTTGTATTATAGCTTTTTTTTGTGTAATACAGTAAAAAAGTAATCAAAATCGTAACGTTCTGTTGAAATCTCATGTGCATTTGCATATATTCAAACCGGACTCTATTTGATCAGTCATGTGACTAGCGAGAACCAATGCAGCTCATTATCATCAGCGTCAAACGAGCTACACTACCTGTCAAAAGTTCAGAGGCGTCTCTTATGCTTACCAAGGCTGCATTTATTTGATCAAGAATACAGTAACATTACTGTAACAAGTAAAAAATAAAATAAAAAATGTATTAATTCATAGAATTTTCAGCATCATTACTCCAGTCTTCTGTGTCACATGATCCTTCACAAATCATTCTAATATGCTGATTTGCTTCTCATTTAATTATTAAAAAATTGTTCTTATTATCAATGTTGAAAACTGCTCAATTTACATTTTCAGGTGATGAATATTAAGTTCAATGAACAGTATTTATTTGAAATATCCTTTCTAACATTATAAATGTTTTTACGGCCACATGTTTCTTAAGCATCAAATCAGCATATTAGAATGATTTCTGAAGGATCACTGAAGACTGGAGGAATGATGCTGAAAATTCAGCTTTGCACCACAGGAATAAATTACATTTTAAAATATATTTAATCAAATAAATGCAGCCTTGGTGAACATTGGAGACTTTCACTTGGAATTTCACTCAGTTCCTCACACAAAAGCTATTGTATTACTTAGGATAACTTGTGATATAGTGCACAGGTCATGTGGACTACTTTTATAGTGTTTTTGTCTCATATAGGGCCTATTTGTTAACTTTATGGAAAAAAGCAGCCTGGATAATTCTACCTACACACATTTTATCTACACACGTTTTGGTACTTCTAAATCTGCAGCAGCGCCAGAGGGGTTTGTGGTTATTCACGTATGCTTTTTTGGGGGTGTGTGGGTGGGCGTCCATGATCACAGTCAGGGGTGAGGGACAGAGAGGGGTGACCTTTCTCTTAAAGCTGCATTTCTGCATGCATGTGTGTGTTGTGCAGATGAAGGGCTGCATCAAGGTGTTGAAAGAGCAGCCTTCAAACAGCGTAGAGGGACTGTTGAACGCACTGAGGTGAGTGTGCAGTAAATCACTTCCCAACTGTACGTGGATAAAAAACGAAAAGAGCCGCACATTGCATGACCTGAAAGCTTTCTTTCTTTCTTTCATCCAGGTATACAACAAGGCATTTAAATGATGACAGCACCTCTAAACAAATCAGGGCCCTGCTTCAATGAGAGCAGGAGGAGAGTGAGAAAGAGCGACCGCAGAGAAAGAGACTGTCAGAGAACATACGACGGTGGCTGGCAAACCTCTGAAACCTGCTTGTTTACAAGAGCAAAATGCAACTTGATCTCAAATCTTTTCCATTTAAAAAAAAAAAAAAAAAAAAATATATATATATATAGATTGTTGATGGTTCATCATCATGTGTCATTTTATAAAAGCAGGAAAAATAGAGATATATATGTATATTAAAATTCAAAAATCAAACAAAACCACCCGATACAAATATAAAGGTCTTACAAAAACGTATTAAACTTTTAGGAATCGAATTCAAACGCGATAGTTAAAACCACCAACAAAATGGTTCATTTTCCAAGTTTCATCTGAGAGTATTTTTGCACACTTGAAAAGGATTCCCACTTCACAGGAAAGACTTTAACGTGGCTTGAAACCATGTATAGTTCAGATCCATTTTCATGCGTTTAGACTTGATTTGATTTGTAACGCCTTTGCCTCATTATCCTCGATATGCTTCATCCAATGCATTCTGGGAATCGTGGGTTTCCTGATAAAACTGCAGTCCATGGCATTTTCTCTTTGGCACAAAGTCTGTTACAGAATAAATGTAAAGATCACATACTTGAGACACATCTCAAATGCGTTCTATAACCATCTAGCTGTATATATTCGGAAAGCACAGGATAGTTTTGTACAGAAATGAAGCGTTTTGTTAGACTTCTTCACTAGTGCTGTACAGCAATACTCTACTGAGGTGACAACTGCGAACACGATCATTTGAAATGCCTTCATACCAATGTAAGAGACGTTGGATAATGCTAACAGCTCGTCTGTGGAGGTTAAAGGCCAGTTGTACATATCATGAGACAAACAATCCTTTAAATACCTTGATTTTTTTTTTTTTTGCTCTTGTAAAGCTTGGATGCTAAACAGGGTGAGTAAGCCATGAAACTGAAATTCAGACGCAAACACACATTCTGCCCTGTGCCATAGCTGCTTCCCGTACCACTGCGTCTCATTCAGAGTCCAGATGGAGCCACATATTACAGACATCATCTGTAGAAAGTGAGAAACAACTAAACTAAATCACACCATTGTGAATGACAACACAGCGATGTGGATTTGCTTTCCTATCATGAGCAAAACAATCCTTTAAATTCCTTGATTTTTTTTTTTTTTGCTCTTGTAAAGCTTGGATGCTAAACAGAGTGAGTAAGCCATGAAACTGAAATTCAGACGCAAACACACATTCTGCCCTGTGCCATAGCTGCTTCCCGTACCACTGCGTCTCATTCAGAGTCCAGATGGAGCCACATATTACAGACATCATCTGTAGAAAGTGAGAAACAACTAAACTAAATCACACCATTGTGAATGACAACACAGCGATGTGGATTTGCTTTCCTCTGTATTCAAAAGCAAAGCATTGCCAAATGAGACTGCAACATTGCCTTTTAGATAAATAGAAGTGATGCACTGTGTGACGTTCGAGTGATTCGTTTTGTCATGAACACGATCTAAAACTTGAGCTACATTATATACACTCAGAAAACAACAGACTTGAAGCTGTAAAACACTTGGTGTAAATAAGAGGAGTTTTCTTGTGGAATCGTATGAGGCCTAAACAAATGTTCAGTAGAGATGTGAAAAAGATGTGGGTTGAAAAACAAAAGAATGAATCAAAAAGATTGCAGTGACAAACGCAGTGCTGTACTTTGGGTGTCTCTCGCCATTAGTCAAACTTGATTTGATTTCTATATGGAGTTCTGTTGAAAAACAAAAGCTCTGTATGAATATATAGATGGCATGCTGTAAAAGTTCAGACAAGACTGTAAATACGGTGTTTTTATTCATTTTTAATTGTTCGGTGAATCTGAATTGGGTATGTGTTGTCTCTAAGGAAACCATACGTTTTGGCTTGGACCATTGGACTTGTCGTAGACATTTGTTCCAGATCTTCAACTTCATATCAGCGGGGAATTCAAACAGGGCAGAGAGGAGGGTGGGGGGGACGGGCTGTCCATTTGCTTGTTATTTTGTACATTTTGTGCAAGAAATAAACTTGTCATTTACTACATTCAACTTAGCGTTTTGTCATTGAATTAAGCTGCTCTCTCAGAGCATTTTTCTCATAAAAGTTCATTTTACCTTCAGCATCAAATGAAGCACACAATGTATTTCCAAAGATGAACAATGTCAGTCTTCTGGATAATGAAGCATTGACTCACACTGACTGAATGAGTTGTTGTCCATGGTGCTGTTTTGTGAGCACACCTCAATAAAGCGAATCACTGCTAAGACAGTCTATTTCATTACCAGTTCAGAGAAATAATGCAACCCAAAATTATGAATACAGTTGTGTCATGTATTTGTAACTAAACACCTATACAAGCGTTATATACTCATGTTATGACCTGCAATAGCTTGCAAGGGTCAGGTATATTTTAAAATCTTTACCCATTACATTTTGTGAAAATACATGACCATTTAAAAGTTTGGGGTCAGTAAGATGTTGCTGTTTGTTTGTTTATGTTTTAAATTAAATCAATACTTTTATTTAGCAAGGATGCTTTAAACTCATCAAATGTGACAGTAAAGACAGTTTATAGTGTTACAAAAGATTTCTATCTCAAATCAATGCTGTTCTTTTTAACTTTCTTCATCAAAGAATCTTGAAAACAGTATTGTGTTTTTCACCAAATTATTAAGCAGCACAGCGGTTTTCAACATTAATAAAAATAAAAATTAAATAGAGCAGCAAATCAGCAGCATGATTTATGAAGGATCACCTGACACTGAAAACTGGAGTAATGATGCTGCAGATTCATCTTTGACATTATTCAGCTTAATTTTTTTTTATTTTAATATTTCATCATTTTTATAGTATTTTATGTTAAATAAATGCAGTCCTAAAAGACTTCTTTCAAAAACATGAAAAAAACATTATTGGTCCCAAACTATTGAACAGTACCATACTGAAAATAAATTTTAAAATACAGTATATATTTTCATTCAGAAAATCTGATTTAACAAACAAATAGAAATATTTAAGGATATGGATGATCATTTTACACACAGATTTGTGGAATTCATGCCACTGCTGGTGTAATTAAAGCAAAAAGAGGATGACAATCTAAAATTTCTATTAATTTTTTATTCAGCTTCCAAGTCAAATTACAGTATTATGCTAAAATATTGTATACAGGCAATGCTTAAGATTGGGGAACACTATTCACTATTAACTAGTTGCTTATTAGCATGCATATTACTAGCATACTAGCTGTTTATTAGCACGTATAAAGCACATATTAATGCCTTATTCTGCATGTGCATATTCTAGCTCCCTTAACCCCACCCCTACCTAAACATAACTACTACAACTACCTATAGTTACCATCAATGAGCAGCAAATTAGGAGTTTACTGAGGGGAAAACACTTAATTAGCAGTCAATGAGTGATACGTGTATACATTAAAAATTTCTATTAAAATTATAAATCTAAATTAGATTGTGACACTTAACATGGCTTAATGTACAAAGTCAGAGTGACTGGAAGACCAAATTCATGTTTTACTTCATTGACGAAGGATACTATCTACAGGCAAGCTGATGAGCACAGAATATAACTGCAATGCGCAAGCTTTCAGTGTTTTCTCTACACCTGGTTTTCAGTAGAGGAAAAACGCTTCATGTAAAGGTATTGTTTTCCCCTTGGACTAACACTAGAACGTCGGTATTTTGGCAGAAGTAAGTGTTTAAATAATGTGAGTACTTTGGTTCTCCAAGGTCTTTGTATTGGTGCATTAAGCATTTTCACATGTTTTAGAATGTCCTCACAATTGAATTCTCAAAATACTGCTACATTTTCATAAAAAATACCTTTTATGCGATTTCCAAAAATATGAATTATGTTTAACATGGCACTAAAACTCGGCAGCACGAAACATAAGTATTTTCACAAACAGTGTATTTAAGTTTTACATTCAACCACAAGGGGGCAGCAACGTACTAAAATGGAGACTTCTTGTCTACGTTCACAGCCTTACAGTATTAAGGGGCCCTAAAATTTTTATCGCTTAATTTCAGGCCTTATTAAAACATTTACACCCTCATAATTCCTGTACATAAATGCTACCACGTCTTTACATAAGCCCCAGTGAGTTTGAGGAAGGTCTGGTGGATATTAGTGCAGAGAAAGCTTTAGTAATCTGGCACAGAAGAACAACAGGAGATGAGAGACGACGTGTGCGCAACTTATTATTGGAAAGCTGTGAAAAGAGCTAAGACGAAGTGGACACATATGATTCATACATCGGTCTTTGCAACAATTCTGGAAAAATATAGAAGAAAAGATATCTGCACAATACAATCCCATGTTTTTCATACTTAAAATGCACCAAGCAACACACACAGCTGTCTAATGATTTAACCACTTGGTTCTGGAACACACCCTTAATGTAATTACAATCGAACAAACTAAAGCTCTCTAGTCATCGGCACTTCATTATTCAGAGGCAGATTAAATGTTTATTTCAGCTCTCAGTACCTTTGTACATTCAAGACTCTCATCCATCTGAAAATATATATTTTATCAGTGACTGATTATCCTGTCATATACTGAGCTGACATGTCCAGACACGTCCAGTGCTGACCCAGTACAGATGCAGGCAGTCCATCATCTCACATCTGTCCATTGAGACTACTATATCAGCCTTCCTGCAGATGATGCATGTTGGACTGGGATCTGCCTTTGGCTGTATTTTTGAGAGATCTGCAGGTAAATTCAGGATTAGCTAGTCCGTTGGCAGGTGAACAAACCGGCACAGTATGAACCAGGCTGTTCCACCCTCGACATCAAGGGAAAAACAAGAAAGAGAGGGAAGTGTGAGATTTTCTATCTGGAGGGCGTGGACCCTGTGACAGTTACTGGCTGTGTTTTATGACAGGGGCCCTTAAGGGTTGATGGAAGTGTGCGTCTGTCTCATTTAACTGTGTTTGATTAACCTACTTTATCAGTACACTCCCATAACTTTCAGTCCAGGTAACTAATAATGCAGTTGTTGTGCATATCCTTTTTTTTCTGTTGTTCAAGGGAAATCTTGGCACAGGAC